TTTGTCCACACGTGTGTGTATATATATATATATATATAACTTCTGATAACAAAGATATTTATTCACACGTGTGTGTGTGTACATATAGTTCACATTTACACATACAAACATTCTCCTCTATAATACACAGAAAGATCCTCTCTCCATACGTATATATATCTATCTATAATACATATACTTCTAAAACATAAAAAAATACTGTCTTTGCACAATCCTCCCTTCACACACTGTATTATTTGATCACGTGTTGATATGTAAAGTACACATTACCTGAGATGGGCGGGATAAGTCTCTGTAGTGATGACGTCAACGCCATTCCATCCCGAAATGGAAATAAAGTTGAATACTGTTTCAAATCCAATTACTGCCGCCTTCGATTCCAAGAACCAAATGAAAAACGCACTCAGACTTGTTAGGAAAAGGGAAGTACCTGTGGAAGATTAACAAGATGTTAAAGATGACACCTCACTGTTATTATAAAAGGGAAGTACCTGTGGAAGATTAACAAGATGTTAAAGATGACACCTCACTGTTATTGTAAAAGGGAAGTACCTGTGGAAGATTAACAAGATGTTAAAGATGACAACTCACTGTTATTGTAAAAGGGAAGTACCTGTGGAAGATTAACAAGATGTTAAAGATGACACCTCACTGTTATTGTAAAAGGGAAGTACCTGTGGAAGATTAACAAGATGTTAAAGATGACACCCCCTTTTCCAATAACAGTGAGGTGTCATCTTTAACATCTTGTTAATCTTCCACAGGTACTTCCCTTTTCCAATAACAGTGAGTTGTCATCTTTAACATCTTGTTAATCTTTCACAGGTACTTCCCTTTTACAATAACAGTGAAAGTACCCGTGGAAGATTAACAAGATGTTAAAGATGACACCTCACTGTTATTGGAAAAGGGAAGTACCCGTGGAAGATTAACAAGATGTTAAAGATGACACTTCACTGTTATTGGAAAAGGGAAGTACCTGTGGAAGATTAACAAGATGGTAAAGATGACACCTCACTGTTATTGGAAAAGGGAAGTACCTGTGAAAGATTAACAAGATGTTAAAGATGACACATCACTGTTATTGGAAAAGGGAAGTACCTGTGGAAGATTAACAAGATGTTAAAGATGACACTTCACTGTTATTGTAAAAGGGAAGTACCTGTTAGGATATCGAAACTAGTGATCATTCTGTTCATTACCTGATTCTGTTAGGTATCTAAACAACTGATCATTCTGTTGATTACCTGATTCTGTTAGGTATATAAACTAGTTATCATTCCGTTGATTACCTGATTCTGTTAGGTATCTAAACAACTGATCATTCCGTTGATTACCTGATTCTGTTAGGTATATAAACAACTGATCATTCTGTTGATTACCTGATTCAGTTAGGTATATAAACAACTGATCATTCTGTTGATTACCTGATTTAGTTAGGTATATAAACAACTGATCATTCTGTTGATTACCTGACTCTGTTATGTATCGAAACTAGTGATCATTTTACTGATTACCTGATCCTGTTAGGTATTGAAATGTCACACTCTGGGATATAAAAGCATTACTAGTTTCGGACCTTCAAAATATCATACTCACCCATAGTCTTTACTCGCCCCAGCTGGTCAAGGACGTACGAGGACATGATATTTCCTGGAATGATCGCCAACTGGGCAAGTAAGTTCTCCAAGAAGATCGGTTGAAGATCAAAACTGATGTCGAAGTCCAATGTACAGCCTGCTTTTGTACTGAAGAAACTGGAATCATAAAGACTACAGTTTTGGAACCGATAGTCATGAAAATCCGTATCCACGAAAAGGACGTCGAGGAATTCCGAGTTCCGAAAGAAGGTCTTGCTGGACCTTACATCACTGAAGGTGCAATTGACAAAGATGCACCCCTCGAAGAGGCAGTGGCTCAGAATCATACTTTGAAACTGTACGTTTTGAAAGTAACTGTGTTGGAAATGAATGTTTTCCATGGTGACATTAAACTGGACATCCTGGATAGTACGGTTATACTCTTCATCTGTCTTGGACTGGTCAATGTGGAGCTTCTTAATATATTCTGGGAACCAAATAGACATCCCGTAAAATCTGGGAAATTAATAAGTTTAGTAAGTTTATACTCTTGATAACATGCCGTTTATATCAAGCTCACAC